TGAGTTGCTTGAGTGCAACTGTTCAGTTGAAACTTTGCAATGTGCGGCGGCATTGCTGCTGACGAAGGTCATCGAAAACCCAAGCCCTCCAATTCCGCAAAAACAAAACCCGTAAGGAGCAACTGAGGAATGCGCTCTCTACCGTTTGGACACGGATACGCCCGCTGCAGCCCGCCAGAGCGCATCTCCTTGAGAACTTCGGGGCATTGGATGGACCAGCGTTTGCGTCATCCCAACTGAGCGAACCAGAGTTTCAACGCGAAGGACGCGTTTTGGGTGAAAACTAGGGGCAATGCTACTAACTCTTTGCTGGTTTCATTCTGAACCTCGTCCACGAGAAGTCTCGGCACTTCCTATCCTGCCTGCCTGCCCTCCGTTCTGCATAGTGACTCTCAGGTTGGAGTTCCTGTTATAACTCCTAAACCCTAAACCCTAAACCCTAAAGGGCACCGCGGAGCTTCCTTTGCGCTCTCTTTTCAATGATTCGAAGCTAGGGTGCAAAACCGAGAAACATCAACTTGAAACATTCCGCGCCCATCTGGATGATATTCTGCTTGAGGGTTCATGGGTAGTTACACAAGTTAACTTATAACTACACATGAACCTCCACGTGGAGACTGCCTAATGAGTATAGCAATGAAACCTGCCTGCTCAAAAACATCGAGTTCGTGAGGGTGCGGGAGTCAAGCCCGGGCGATTGGCCGATATCTTCGCATGCTAGGATATCGGCCTCGGAATTCTGCGGTGTTGATCATCCCATCCCGTCCTCTTCGTGTGCCTCGACGCAAAGCTCCCATGCCTCGATTACGGTTTGTGTTTACAATGGAGAGTCGTACTTGCGGTATTGGCGGTGGCGGTGGTGGTAGCAGCGGTAGTGGTGGTTATGGTGGAGGCAGTGGAAGTCGTAGTCGTCCTAGTATTGCTGTAGTAGTAGTCGTCGTCGTCGCCGTAGGGGTGGGAGTCAGAGTAGGAGGAGCTGCAACACCAGCTGCAGTAGTAGTAGCAGCGGTAGCAGCAGCAGCAGTGGCAGTTGTGGTGGTCGTTTCACCTATACGATTCTGGACAAGAGATGCTGGCCCAAAGCTTGGGGACTCTCCAGTCACGCGAAGCCGGGCCATTTTCGCTGGAAAAGCATCTTGACTTCAGCCCATTCCGCATGCGTCAGAAGTGCCTGACAAGCAAAGACTTACAACCTTGCCAAGCCCGTTCCCGCTAAAGGTCTGAGGCTTCGGGCGGCCTCGTCGAAGAGCTGAAGAGCTTCATGCGGACCTTACCACGTGTAGTGGCAAAAGGTTGGGAGAGAAAGGGGGAGCCACGAGGAAGAGGGGATCAGCGGCGGTCGGAAGAACAGAAGCAACGGCATTGGAAGGAGTTGTGGTAGCAGCAGTCGTGGCATTACCATAATTGCTACTGGCGCAGCAAATGACAGCTACTACAACCCTGGCCGATACAAAACACCCACCGCCTCAGCCACGACGACGACAACCACTACTACAAGCGCTACTCCTGGTGGTGGTGGTGGTGGTGGTGGTGGTGGTAGTAGACAGGGAAGAACTTGGTGTAATCTGCGTTGTTCTGGTGGTAACGTTTGTCGGCATCGGCGGTGATGGCGTCCGGTAGAGAGTGCTTTTGGCTGGACAGTTCCTACACGACCAAACATAACATATCGGCACACGAATCTAGAACCTTCGTCTGGCATGTAAGCCATTCGAGACATGTTGCACGCTGCCGAGGTGGCTTTCCTCATACTGGAGACTTGGAGGTTCATGGGTAGGTAAAAAGTGGGTGTACAAATTCCCCTTATGTGGGCTATAAGCAGAGTAAGCCTGCTTATGACCCCACGGGTATCTACCCAGGAACCTCCAAGTAAGGCTGATGCACTGCACCTTGGCTCCGAAGGCCGAAGACTCTCAATTCCAGAGTCGGAAGTCCCAAGAGAGAAAGTGCAACTCCCGCCTTCGGAGGTTTGTTCCAGCTTGGAGCTACAGAGATTGGCTCCAGTTGCTGATGCTTTCAGGAGATTCAGTGCCTTGGTTTTTCTCTCTCGGCCCGACTTGCCACTTTCACAGTCGCACAAGAAATACAAGGCTTCACGACGACGTGTGCACCAGGCGCTCACACGACGAAGCGGCACTTTTGAACTCTTCGAAAACTGAGCAACAAACACCGCTCCTCAGCACAAGTCAAAATGTTCTGCAGGAACAGCGGCCATCATCCCTAACCCAGTAACGGACAAACACCCAGACTGACAACCATGTTAGGGTTGACCAGTTTCCCGCAGGACAGAATGCTTTTCGGTCGGAAAGTCCCTGCAATAAAGGCCGTACTGCGCTGTGCAATGAAAGCTAGCTGAACCGCGCAAGCTCTGGTATTTGGAACTGCTGAGATTCAGGCTGTCGCAGGCAGCCTGGGACCAGAAGCAACAGGGATAAAATGGTATGGGCCCTTAATACTTTGGCAGAGGGTTTGGGGTACAGAATGGTATAGTTATAAAAATAAACCAGTTGTATTAAAATTAAACACACCACCAGACGCTCTGAGGGTCAGACACGCCCACATGCCCATGTTTAAGCAACCAAACACACTAGTACTGGCAGTTTAATAATAGTCTACTACTACGCATCAAAAAATGTTGTGATAGATATAAAGGCACATGTGTATATAGCTATAGACTTGGAATTGCTTTCTCACCTGCAGCCAGCCACTACCCGTAAGCTCTAAGCTCTAAACCCTCTTCGATACATTGAGTATAACTATATAGGAACCGTAAGGGAATGCGATTACTATTCAGGCCTTATATTATCCTCTTGGACTCTTGGATTTGGGTAGTTCTCTAAATTAAGTCCCTTTTTGGGTCCTCAATATAGTGCGGCACCCCTGTAAAAAGGACCCTGAAAGGGACTCTAATTTAGAGAACTACCCGTTTGCTGTTCGCGAGTACTTACTTGGCTCGTGACCAATCGTCTCGCTCGCTTGGCCATCTCCTCGTCGGAGAGCTGGCAACCTTCCAGCCGTAACAAAAGGGGCCTTGAAGGAAAGAATAGGTTTGGCTTAAAGGGGCTTATGGCGTTCCTTTGAGGGTTACTATAAACGTTAATTATGATAGGGGCCTAGTCCTGGGCTAAATAACTAGAATAGCACGTGTGGCTCTAGTGCAGTTTGGTGATATCAAGGACTACTCGGACCTCTACGTCAATCTTGCTGACATAGCTCTTAGCCAGACGTCCCACCCCAAAGGACACCTACGCTGCGCATTCGACTTTAGCCTGAGTAGTGAGTAGTTGGACAAGGCCGCGCAAGTCTCATCTGGAAGCATGCCTGGGCTCTTCAACAACACGCCTCTGCGACTGTTTGTGCCAGTTTGTCAACAATCGCAAGAAATGCTTAGCTCCAGAAGTAAGTGGAACGCTCAAAAGCTGTGCGCGCTGCTCGCACTGAAGTTCTGAGTATGATCCTAAAGGCCAGTCTGCTCGTCACCTCCTTTATGCTGTGAATCCCCAGTCACCTGTGGCAGTTGTGGCTGCTTCTTGCTCATCCATGATGGAGTCGACGTTGCCCTGCGCACATTTAACATGCTTGACTTGTCTCATGGTTGCGGGTTTGGAAGCTGTGGCATCTGCCTGTGCAAGAGGCCTGAGATATTGGTAGAACGAAGCTATCGCAAGGCAGGGGTTTGCTGACGTCGCCTGGACACCATGTAAAACAAAGGGACTTTTCCAATTCGAGCTCAAAGTGCCCATCAATAAGCGAGGCGCCACGCCAAAGGAAGCAGACCACTACAGTGCACACCAAACTTGCTTGCTAGAACATGCAAGCTCCGATGGCGCTAAGTCCTATCTGCTGCTTCTTGAAGCGATGAGCACTCCGAACTCCCAGGTAACATCAAGCAACCCCGTGATGAAAAACTCTTGGCTTCATTTCTGTCATGTGGTCCTTATCGCCGCAATCATCGCCATCTGTGTCAACAGCACAACCTTCCTTGTCTTGTCAACTTCGTGCCGCTCGTCACGAGGCCTATCATTGCCGTCGTAGGTAGTGTCGTCACCCTTGCTATTCTGATCTGGAGCGTGATCTAGCTAAGGTGAGAACCTCCTGACCAGCCGGCCAATTGACGCTGCCCGGACCTCCAGTAAGAAGACACAGCTTCCAGGAGGATGCAGAGCACGGGGTCTTTTGACACACCACCCAATCCATGACGAAAGCCAACAAAAGGTGTGCACATTTTGGGGGAGGCATGTGCGACGAAAGCACCTGAACCCCTGCAGTCTCAAAGAGCTTCGTCGGAGGTAGCTTCCGAATTGCTTCTTAGCGTCCTCGTACGGGCATGCAGTGCCACGGGCTCAGCATAAGGAATATAGTACCATTATAGTATGACCGACGAACATATACCGTGATATGGTATAAATATGAGGGTTTCCGAAAATAGGGGACCCTAATATAGTTCCCTAAATAGTAGGATCCTTATTATAAGGACCCCAAAATACGGTACCCCTTATTTTCGAAAACTCCCAATATAACTCTTGATTGATGACGTCGGAGGATTGAAAAGGGGAAGACCTGGGAAGGATGGCGACTGACTTCCGTGATGAAGGGATGCAGGGGCCATAATCATCTTTGGGAATTTCAGGTTTAGGGTTAGTAGTATCAGGACTGGGAGGTAGGGATATAAGTGTGAGGACTAGAAATGTGATAAAACTTTCATTGTTCCGATTGCTTTGGGTTGTGGGGGGCTGTGGGGTACATTATGGTAGAGTCAGACCCTACATTACTTGCATGCTGGTGCCTTGTACTTTGCACTCACAGCATCGACTTCCACGCCATCCCACCGCACATGAGCCCGTTAAAAGCCCCTGCAACTTGAAACGATGTCTCCCGAAGCTACGCGTATGAACCAACAGCATGCAGAATGGAAGCGGGCTTCTGCACACGCTCACTGCCTGCAGCTTGTAGGAACCACCTTTTCCTCTTGGCTGTGCGAGGCGGAGAAGACATTCTTTGAATTAGGCATCTTGCGTGTTCCAGCTCGTTGGCAGAGACAAACTTTGCATTCGGCGCAAGTGAGTCATTGCACGAGCCAGGGCTCTGAGCAGTTGCTGGTTTAACTGCTCCATCTCTGCATTGGTGTGGGGCATCTCTGCAGAAGGGCTTGAAGCCAGTCTGCCACAAGGGCCGTCGAGTCTCTGAGCCACATCGTGCTCCATGCTGAGCCCGCATGCTGGAACCGGCCGGGTGTTGAACGAACCCTGCCACAAGCTCGAAGCGCGTGCGCTAGCAATGTCACCACCGAAGTCCGGCGTGTCATCCTTCATGGCAGAAAACCATAGCTTTTCAGGGGTGCACAAAGCACTCATTTGTGTCAGATCGTCTTGGCTGAGAGAAACCCCTTCAGCAAGTTCACGCCTTGGAGCGCTGATTTGAGACAGAGGGCTCATGGAATTCCACAAGCCGTTGTCGCGCGACGGCTCGTCCTTGCATTTCTCCACTTTGCCGTTCGTTTGAAAAGGCGTCTCAGGAAGATGGAGCACTGCAGCAATCGGCTCAACTCGAGGCCTTGGAGCAGCGTCAGAATCGGCTGCAGCCATGCTGTCCGTCTGCACGGCAATCTCGCAAGACCGAGCAGCGAAAGCTTGAGGAACCTTCGGGCTCTGACAGTTCACTTCGTCTTGCGCCTCCCTGGCAGCACTCCGCGCACCATGCTCAAACTGGACCGCTGCATCTTTCAAAGATTTCGACGCTCTTGACGGTAGCGGCCCGGCACTGCCGGCGCTTTTCTTGCGAGGGGGAGACAGCTGAGGCGGCCCAGACTCCAGAGGCCCAGAGCCTTGGCCTTCGGCTTTTTGGGCTTTGGGCATCGCCTCACGGGGCGCAGGTAAGGGCGCGAAGGGATCCTGGGAGGAGGCCCTGCACGGGCTGTTCCCCATTCTGGGGCGATGGCTGCCTGGGGAGCCCAGGTTCGGGCTCGAAGGCCTGGGAGCGTTCCGCGCAACTCGGTGGCGCCCGCTTGGGCCTGCGAGCTGCAGCTTCGGTGGGTTGCTGGCTGCCCGAGCTCTCTGCAAACGTGCGCAGGGGGCCAAGCCCGGGTCGCCTCGGTGCCTTGCCAGCTCACCTGAGAAGCAAGCAGGATCCCCAAGGCACCATGCATCTGCTATTTGGAATATCATGTGTGCCTATGCCAACAATGTTGTGACAAATACATTCATGTATGGACATGTGTGAATCCAGACTTTATGCATAGAAACACAGCACACGCAGGCAGAAGCACAAATAGAATGACAGGTCGATCGGTCGATCGATACATAAACAGATAGGTAGATAGATAGCACGGTAGATACTTGGAGGTTCATGGCTAGTGATAAATGGGGTCATAAGTCCCCTAATATGGGTTATAACTCTTACTTATAACCCCACTTATCACGACCCATGAACCTCCAAGTAGATACACTTAACATTGAAACATCCCGGCCTGGTGCAAAGCAGAAGCTCGAGGAAGTGGCAGCATCAGTCACGAAGCTCGACCGTGCAGCAAGGCTGCAAAAAGAGGACTGCGGCAAAGGCGCAGGCGCCTGTGAAAAACTCCGCTGACTAACACGGCTTGAATCCCACTCTGGTACCGGATTGAACATGGAGCTTCTTTCAAACAGAGGAGGCATGCTCATGTGTGAAAGGTCCATGCTTGAAATATCCAAGGCAGTTGCTGACTTGTCTGGCATCGGAGGATCTGCTTCTGAAGGTTTCATGCCCAGGCCCAGGCTAGAAGAGCCACAGGCTGTTGACAAATCGCTGCCAAAGCCAGAAGGCACTTTGTAGCTGGTGCTTGGCGCAGTAGCTTGCACGTGGGGCGCAAACGCTTCCAGCCCTTTCGTTCGGAGTTTGAACGGTAAGGCCCGCACAGGCTCCGACGGGGCTACCTGCCATGGATATCTCGGTGTAGTCGTTCTAGCCGGCAGCGACGAAAGCTCGCGTGCTGGGCTGGATTGGACATTGCGTAGGCCGTCTGGCGGTGGATCCGGCTTCTCCTCGCGACTCGGCCGCAAGGCCAGCGGTTCCACGAAGCTGCCAACAGAACTTTGCAAGTCGTGCGTCTGGAGCTCTACTGGAACAGCACCATACTTCTGCTCGAAGCTCCGGATATACTCGTCGAGTCGCCCCAGCGGGCTTGTCTCCGAGTCGTGCATGGCGCTACATGCCACCGAAGCAATCAGTGTGCTACTTGTTCCTGGACTCTAACTCACACCCCAAATAGCATGACTTGCGTCGACCGATCCTTGTGTTTCAAGGCTGCAGCTTACATTGAAAATTTTCTATAGTAGGAAAGTTCACAGTACAGTTGCATGAAACCGTGGCAAGCCGACTAATGTGCCAGCGGTTCAATAGCCCCTTAGATCTTTCATGGCAGCACGACGGGGATTGAGCTGCATTGGCTGCGGCCAAACAACTTCTGCAGCTCTACATGTTCCCATGGATCCAACCACAAGGCCTCAACATCGCACAAGAAGACAACAGCGACCCTAAAACAAACCCGAAATAGTAAGAGCGTGCCATAAAGCCCCCTAAAAAAAGTACCACTAGTTTCAAAAAGCCCCATGCCAAAACCCTACGAACACGTAGTAGCCCCGACGCTCCCCAACCTAAACCCTAAACCCTCTCCGAGGGCACGGCTTAGCTTCCACAGGGCAGTGGGCGGATGAACCTGGGGTCAAATCAAAGCTCACGGTTTCTTTGTTGGAGCTTTCAGGCTAAAATTGGGGCATTCCAAGTTTTACTGAGGAGCCCAAAAAAATAGCAGTGCTCATCATTCAGGCTTCTAGGTTGGACAATGTCAGCTCCATGTGTTTTACATCTCTTGCATCCTTCGAGGACAGTCTGTCAAGAAGGGGGCGCTAAGGCTCGTGCGTTGGCGCCGTATGATTCGGAGCCAGCGAGCAAGAAAACCCGAGAGACGCGAAGAGGTTGAATTCAGAATTCCGAAACCCTGAAGCCAAACTCGAAGGCTGATAAAGCAAGATTTTCGAAGCATCGCACTCCATGTCCCGGGAACTAAGACTAGGAAGAGCTATCGCTAGGAATGGTCTTCGTAGTCGAAAGCCCGAAGGCATAGCTCCTGACACCGAGCCCTGCGCCCTCACCCTTGCCATGTCCACCCGGAGTGCAACGAAAGTGATGAGCTGGGTCGGATACTTTCTGAACATTCAGCCACGAGCACGGAGTGTCTTGTTGTCGAAAGCCGTTGAAAGCCGAGCGAGTAAGGCCATACCCGGAATTTGAAGGTGAATCTCTGACAAGCATCTACGGGACACCTATCCTGAGCAATGGATGCGCCTACATTTCGAAGATCCAGCTCCCAAAAACCTCGAGAAGTGAAGCGGAATCATGTTTAATCTAAACCCTAAAACCTAAACCCTAAATATAAGCTGAAGAAACCACAGTCGAGTTCCGACTGAGGAGACGACGCCGACTAACGTGAGGACCTCAGCGTCAGTGGACTTGAAAGCACTTTACACCGAAGAACCAGCACTGGGTTTAGGGTTTAGGGTTTGGGGTTTAGGCCATATTTGGAGACACCAAGGCATGAACAAAAGCATACACCCATTGTTGAAGGTCGCTGCTCTACGTAGACCTTCCAATCAGAACCGACCTTATACGCGTCCTTCCATTTTACGTTTGCTGGCCGGTTCGCCAACAGGCAACGAGGCTTTGGGTCTTAAGGCTAGCTTTGGAGTTGCGGCTTGTAGTACGCACATGTTCACCTTCGCAACTTTGCGGACAAACTTATAGTGTCGCTATGTACCTTGTCGTGGAGAGACAGAAAGGCATAAGCAGATTCATCATGTTTTCAGCTTTCAGTAGCGACTTCATCACGATGTGCTCTGATATGCATAAAAAGCCAGCGATGCCAGTAGAAACCAAAACAAAAAAACTGATGACATTGCAACCGTTGGTGCTGAGACGACGATATGTTCACAAGGAACGGTGGTCCTGCAAATATGAGCCACTCAGGTCCAGGCATCTGCAACCAGCTTTGTCTTGATCCGCTTGTCCAAGGGAGAGCCGCTGGACAGGGACGGACCTTTGCTTGGGCTTCGGGCTTTCAAGGCTCGGAAATCTGCGACTCCGCAGCTGTGATGTGGTTCTATGTTTCGAGAGGTGTAGTGTCGTCACCCGCCAGCAACATCAGAACAAACCTACCCCAAAGTCTTACCCCAGATGTTCCTGAGCTTCCGCGCAGATGTTGACTTCCAAGAGCCATGGCTTGAGACTGCGGTCGACCTTAGTCGGGGGCTACACGTGCTATGTTACGGGACACGGCATCTCAAGGCAACTGGCTATATGGGTGCTTCACCTTATTATGAGAAGCATCGAAGCATCTTCTGCGCAACCCGCTCCTCCAACTCTGCCTTCCTGCGTACTTTCTGTGGAGAATTCAAGCCACATGCCTTGGCATGCCGCCCCCCACAACGAATGTCGAAGGCAATGCAATCCCTATTGTGGAGTTGATGCTTTCCTTTCCAGTCAGTGTGCCGGCGCCGACATTAAATGTCTAGAACCATTGACAACGGCTTATTGCAGGAGCGATCCTAAGCTCTCCTTGTATAGTGTTTAGGGTTTAGGGTTTAGTATCTACACAGGGTCATCTGAAAGCTTATCCTTCTCAGAAATCACCCAACTGAAGGCCGGGCGAGAACATCGAAGCCGTAGATCTCGAAGCAGGAACCCCTGTGGGCACCTTGCAATCGGGTTACAGGCCTTTGGCAGTTTTCATGCGTTGAGGATTCGCGTGCAACGACCTGAGCTCAACGTTTCGACACGGGTATTTCACATCTTGGTGGCAAGTTCTCTTTGGTTGCGACATAGCTTTGCGAAATCTTGCTCAGTACCTTAACTAATTATACCTAGAAGGATTCTGGCAGACTCCTTGTTGCAAAGAGCGACTGGCTAGCCGATAGGCCATCTACATCTTGCAGATGCCTGAATAGACCGCCCTGGACGCTAACATTGCGATTGCTAGAGTCACTTTCGAGTCACTGTTTTCACCGAAAACATGTTTGATAGTTGACATGGCCGCACGCAGACAGTCCCGGCGCAAATCTTTCAAGGCCATCTTGCATGAACACGTCTGTCAACTTCGCAGTCGCACAGGCAGGAACTATGCTCCTGAGCTCGCAAGTTGCACGAAGTTCTTGCACTTACGCTGTCCAAGGTTAATCAAGCATGTATTCAGAATTTACTCCACTAAGCCCGCTTACATATTGAGACGAAAGGTGCAGGTTCGCCTTTCGTGAGTAACGGGGTAATGCAGGCCGGTTGGCAAGTCAAGGGCGGCAACGAACGAGACTTGGATCCTGTGGGCATTGAAGTCATGACATCACAGCCACAAAAGTACCCCAACACAGTTCGAAGTGATTTTTTAAGTTTAACTTAAACCAGACAGCAAATCTCTAAGAGCACTTGCAGCAAGCACACAGGCTTGCTTGCCTCAACACTTTCTGCAGATTGATTTGAAACAACCCTCCTCAAAACTTTGAGCCTCCTCGCACTGACCTGAGCTCTCTGACGCCCTGAGAGCCACAACACCTTCATAGTTAGAATAGGGTCTTGGGGTATGTTGTACTTTCAGTGTAAAGGGCCATCGGGGATGCTGTTTGTTCTGACCTCTCTATGACATAATCCAGTCATCTGAATGCGAATCCACCTCCCGGTCCACGTGCAGACCATCCGCCGTCCTCGCAACAGGAGCTTTCCAGCTCGAAACTGAGTGGTTTTGGATGTTGGGCTTAGGTCTCTGCATCTACGGGAAGAAAGCCTTGGGATGGTGGCACCCATCAGCAGTTCTGAGCACCAGCGAGGTTTCAGCTTGCCAAGCTGTTGACCCTTTGCATCTATGCAACACGTGTGATGACCCTTGGGCGGCATGCTTCGTGATGCAAGCGTGCATATTGCTTGCACAGTGCTTTCCCGTGCTGCAGAGATCATGTGCCTTTGACTACACCTATGAATGCTCCCTGGCGTCGCCAACACACGGGTAGTTTTCTAAATTAGGGCCCCTACTAGGTCCCCAATATAGTACGGCACCCTTGTAAAACGGACCCCAAAAGGGATTCTAGTTTAGAGAACTACCCACACGTTGCTTTATGGCCCCAACCCGACAAACCACATGAGTCTCTGCTCTTGACGAAGTTTTTTACGCGAGGGATTCACTTTTCAGTTTTCGCTCCGAGCCTTCTGACAAAAGCAAAACTCGCTACAGTGACAGAGAGCCCAAGGGGCCCCTTAATTAAGGAATATACCTTAATTTATAGGGGCCTTAGTATTATGATTTAAGGTCTATTCTTTCATTTGGGCTCTCTGGGGTGACATGTGAACAATAGCAAGAAAAACATGGATGAACAAGAACAAGTTAATAGAGCTCATGGATGACACTTGCAGTGGTGGGTATAGCCAAACCAGTGCTGGTGCCGAACCCCGACTTCATCCATTCTGCCACTGCCATCCCCACCTCGCAGCCCGTCGTCTTGACCCACTCAGCCTGCTGCGGGAATTGACGGACTTTCAGAGGCTTGGCGGTTAAGGTTTGACGCATCGCAGTTGTTTCTGACACTTGCTGGCGCCAAGTGACGCTCTTGCAATGATGGGAGCAGATGTTGATGTGTTCTCGAGGTGTCACTATCAACCGACCGCACATGAGCCTTTACCTGCCTTTATCTCACCCAGAGACTTTCTGACAGAGTACCTGGATTATGATCGTCTGGGATCATTTTCTACATCACAAGGTGGCAGGCCGAGGCCGCAGAACGGTGTTACACAAGGAAAGCAAACGGGCTGCTCGTTAGCCTAGTGCTCCGCTCGTGGATATGAGGACATGAGGATTGGCAAGGCCTTTATGGCTGAGCCGGTCGCTTTCATTTGGAACAGTCTTGCCGTGTAAAAAAACACTTACACTCCATGGTTTTTTCTCAATCAAAGTGAGGCCGCTGTGGAGGTTTCGAAACACAAAGACGGAGCACAAGGCTTTCCAGACACACTCCAGGATCTATTCTTCGCCGTGCAGCATAGAACGACACAGGACCGGCAAAAGCGCAAGCGTTGTTAAACAAGACATGTTTTATCTCAAACCTTCGATTCCCAATTCTTCAAGCAGAGGCATGTGCTGTTGGGGTCGGGCTTGGGAGATCTGGGGTGCTTCACATGCTGAATCCAAGTCGAAGGCATATCTTTGTGTGTGAAAGGTTATCAAGAAGATCGGGACTCTTTCCCCACGGAATCTGCAGCCCTAAGTGCGAAGTCGCCTTCAGAGGCTCCTCCACAGAGATCAGGGTCTTAATGACCAAGTCCTGTCCACTTCCCGGACATACAGGTGCGGAGCTGCATGCATGTATGTATGTATGTGAAGGTACATACATACACACACACATACATACATACATACATACATACATACATACATACATGCATACATACATGCATCACATTACCTAAACTTACATTACGCTGCATTACACTGTACCTAGACTGCATTAAACGGCATCGCAATATATTGCAGTACGTCATGTTGCATTGAAATACGTTGCCTTACATTGCATACCTTACCTTCGTTTACTTTATCTTACCCTACCTTACCTTCACCTCAGCATGACAATGCGTTGCAGAACATGGGCGCATAGCTACATAGCTACGTAGGTCCATCAAGGTGCATACGGCATGTAGCATCGACAAAGTGTAGGGGTACATACATATGACAAAGTGTGTGTGTGTGTGTGCTCGTGTGCTCCTATGCTTCTAGCAAGGCACCTGCACCAAACATCTGATGGATGACTGAATGAGTGGGTCATGTATATCTTGCATGAATACGGACAATAATGCAACCGTAACAACGAGAAGCTCGTTCGTGGTCAACTTTCCAGCTGGCAGGCCGAAACCTCTCAAGTGCTGCATACAGGCCCTGCAGGGGGTCATCATAAAGTGTCCGCTTGAACTGGCTTGAACACAACGTCTGACAAGAGCCTCTAGCTAAAGGTCAAAGAAAGCAGCTGCTGACGTACGAGCAACAGGTCTGCGGATGCTTCGAGCTTAAGAAGTTGTCTGGAGCCCAATTCAACAATCGACGTCTTGGCTGCCCTTGAAGCGTTAACAGCGGTCCTCCTGAATCATGCCGACATCTAAAGTCCGAGAGTCGCAAACCGGAGGATGCAAATAGCCCGAAGACCCCAAACCTTCGTCCTGCGAACTTTAGCACACAAGAGCTTACCCGGCCTTCATGGACGCCCACATGGCCTCCGCAGGAGTTTCAGAATACGAGCTCTATACCCGGATTCTCGGACCGTCAACCTCCACACCTGGCCTCCGAAAAACTGCGCTTACATGGGAGTTTCCGAAAACAAGGGTTACCTTGTTTGGGGCTCCTTATAATAAGGATCCTACATTCAGGGTACTATTTTAAGGTCCCCTGTTTTAATTGGAAGCCCCACATGGCGCAACGTTGGAGATTCGATGAACATCACCTCTTAGTCCAGGGTGTCTGGGGTAAAATTGGTTAACATATAGGGGCCTTAAGAAGTACCTATAGCCTATACTAGTTTGCGGGCTCCGTATAAAATTAGAATACAATATACCTCCAAACCCTATTCCAATTACCAAGGCCCCGATATTAGAACTTTACACGAACCCTGTAAATCCAATGAAACCTGTTGTAGTAACCCTAACAGGCTCCAAAGACCCTGTTTATTAATGCCCCTATATTAGTAGAGGTAAGGTCCTTTCCTTTGGGGTTCAGGTTTCCCAGCGACCGGCTTTTTGGAGGTTCTCTTTTGGTTTTGGTACACTTCTCGTCTCTTTGGGTTTAGGGTTTAGGGTGCAGGGGTGGTTTAGGGGTTAGGGGTTTAGGGTTTAGGGTTTATCTGGCTTTGAGGTTTCGTGCTTCCTCGTTCGATGGCCAGGTTCTCCTCCGCCTCGCTCAGTTAAATGCAGCGGACCCTGTAGCCGTTTCAGTAACTTGTCCATTCATGGGGGTTTCCGAAAATAGGGGACCCTAACTTAGTACCCTAAAAGGGTCCTTATTTTAAGGACACCACCCTAAACCCTAAACCCTAAACCCTAAACCCTAAACTTGAGGTACCCCTTATTTTCGCGAAACTCACACGGTAGTCGAGAGGGAGAGCATGCAAGTCTGGGCCTCAGCCCTTCCGGCCGCAACCCGTAGAAATCCTTGCGAACCCCAAGTTGGTTTAGAGTTTAGGGTTTAGGGTTTTAGGGTTTAGGGTTTAGGGTTTTAGGGTTTAGGGTTTAGGGTTTAGTTTAGGGTTTAGGGTCTAGGGTTTAGGGTCAAACCTTTCGGAATCTACGGATCGAGAGGTGCTAAGATTAGCCCCAGCAGCAGGCCTCATGCTAGCCCGGGTCTTTTGAAACTGAGGATGCTTGGAGGATCCTGGGACTTCGTAAGAAGGGTTATAAGTACCTTCAGTGGGCTTATAAATTATAAATAATTGTAAGCATGGTTACCTGAGTTATAACCCTAATTACTAAGTCCCATGATCCTCTAAGTATCAGCACTAAACCCTCAACCCTAAACCCTAAATTCCGGTGTTCGGCTGGCGCCTCGAAGTCGAGACCCTCGCGGGCGAAATGTATCCTGAGAACATGGGTAGTTCTCTACATTAGGGTCCCTCTTTAGGTCCCCAACATAGTACGGCACCCTTATAAAAAGGACCCCAAAAGGGACCCTAATTTAGAAAACTACCCACATGGCTCTTTTTGCTGGACTTTCCAGCCGGCAGCTGCTTTGGCTCTTGGGCCATGGGTCATGCTTATTAGCCCATGCACACTGAGGTTCTGCTCGTGGTCTTTGCTGCCATGCACCTATCGCCGTCAATGTTTACGTTTTCAAATCCCAAATCTTGACTCGCAGCTTATGTGCACATCGCTTCGGCCACCGTCCTTAGGCGAAACCACTCATGCACTCACAACCGCTGGCCCAGATCCTGGCATGAACCGACAAGACTCATTCCTGCCATGAACTCGTGAACCTCTCAACGCCCCTGTCGAGGGTTTGTGGCCTTCTGTCCCCTTGCAACAACACCCGGGTGCCAGACTGCAGCTCTTTGAGCGACCTGACTTGGCAGCATCGTGTCAGAGACTACGGCCGAAAATGCTGCGTTGGCTATTGACCAGGCATCTTCGCCGCCTTTCTGGCATGAGGCTATTCGTTGTCGTTGTCGTTGGCTTCTGCTTGTTCAGGTCTACAGGTTCTTACTTGTTGAGACATGTCGTTTTCAAGGCATGTCTGTCGAGGGCAAGATCGCTACCAGATTCCTGACCAGTCGCAAGAAAAGTTTTGTGCAAAAACGGAGAATTAAGCGGCACGTCCTCCTTGTTTAATTTGCCTCTAGCGCACCTACCCGAGAATGCTTGTGACAAGATCAAGATTTCGTGCCGATATCCACGACCGGCTTCGCCTGGGGCAGCTCAGCCTAGTGCCTCATTCCGTCTTTTGCAGAGACGTGTCTTGGACATGCACCCTTCAGAAACAGCTGTCAAGCAGCAAGACGGCGAAACTTTATCAACGAAACATGCTGGGCCTATGCGGAAATATCAATCGCTCCTGAGCTCTATTGCTATCTTTATCGTAAACCTAATAAGGCCTTGAAGCCCTGCCTTACATGTTGAGGCCGGTTCCATTTTGAAGCCTTCGGCTGGCCGCTGTCGTCGACTGCTGCATCCTCCTTGTCCTGGCATTTCGGAAATTGGGCCCGCGCAAGTTCCAAGGCCAGCAGTTGTTGGAGGACCACGGGGAGGAGACAGTAGGAGTAGGAGTAGGAGGAGGAGGAGGAGGAGGAGGAGTAGGAGTGGTAGGAGTAGTAGCAGTAGCAGTAGCAGTAGCAGTAGCAGTAGCAGTAGCAGTAGCAGTAGCAGTAGCAGTAGCAGTAGCAGTAGCAGTAGCAGTAGCAGTAGCAGTAGAAGTAGAAGTAGTAGTAGGAGTA